CAGTTCACTTACAGACCGCTGTTTGCAGTTCAAAAGCTGCTTCCGCAATATGTTAATCATCATTGGATGTCATCATCTAATGTAGGAAAATCATATCCCAGCCAGAGCTTGTCTGCATGCTCCCAGACTCTCAGTCAGCCCAGGTCCTCCAACTTCTTGCCAAGAAAATGCTCCACTCGCTGAAAGAGCTCCACGTCGTATTGAGTCACCTAAAGAAGTGAGATGTTGTGACAGAAATAAACATTATGTAGACAGGTAACTGATAAAGCACCCCCATTCCGATTGTAAAAGCTCTCTATTTCGGGGAGGTGGGGCGTTGTTTATTAATCAACCGTCTACATATGTCTACATGATGCAAAATACAATCACACGCATGGTCCTTTTCATGGAAAAAACGTCATGCCAGAATGACAATGCTGTTGAGCCTGCTGTTGATCCTTTGTGATCCAGGCTGTTGATCCTGCTGGATGAGTGACCATTCTCACCACCTGCTCGCCCTCGTGGGACCGGGACTCCAAACCATGGACACCGCCCGCCCCGTCCGCCCGGCGCGAGCGGTGCGTCCCACGCGGTGGATGTAGTCCTGTTCCGCCGAGTTCGGTGGCGTCGTGGAGGGTCCGTTTTGGCCAGAGCTGTGTGATTACCCATGGTTGATATGTAGTCTCCAGGGTTTTGGACATATATTGGCACACCAGACCCTGATCTGTATTTGTGTATATCTGTAGATGGAGACCCCTTCTTCCGGGTGGACTCGGGTAGACATGGTCAACCGAACCTTGAGGTCTTCCAATTCGGCGGTGGCTCCAGGAGACATGACCCATTGCCCACGAAAGCCTCCGAGGCCGCTAAGAAGATCGGAGGCCGCACGATTTCTTTCCTTCTGACCAACAAAAGTGCGACTGTCCATTTTCATTATAGAGTTGGAGTGTAACAAGAACACTTCCACTTTCAGTTTTTAGATCACTCCGATGGTTCTTCGATGTGTTCCGCCTTCGCGGCGGAATGTGAGCTGAGTGCACGAAGCGAAATGAAAAGTCTGACTGGTGCGACTCGTGCGTGGAATGAGGGTTGCTGGATCAAAAGAAGTCTTTATTGGCACGTTCATTCCCTCATTCCCTACTGAGCACCAGTCAGAATCGATGTCGCAACTTTCTGACCCAAAGACTGTCCTTCGAATTCTTCGGGACATCATAATTGATTACCTTGGCAACACTCCTTCCGAGCAAGCACCGGTCAGAACCACCGACCGCCCCTCCAAGTTCCAAGCTCGCGTTTCGAACACAGAACATCAAAAATGTTAAAAAAATACGGCCAATGTCTGCAAGGTTTGGCGCGAAATAAACAGTCAGTTCCGCTCTTTTCACAGCAAAGGTTGAGATTCAATTCTTGTCAAAAAGATCTATAAATGTACAGTACGTTGCGTTGTCACGGCCCAAGGATCATGTCTTGCAGTTCTGCTAGATTTCCAGGTGAGTTTGATTATGTCACATCCTTCCCGCTACCCCTTCCACATCATGTTTCCTTGATCTCTCCTACTTTTCAACCTGCAAGAGCCACCCCAGCTTCGGTGCGACCTGCGGTCTGAGCCCGACACCAAATCCACCGAAGGGACATCCAAGCCACGCGAGGCCACATCGGTGCAGACCAGGATCCGGTGCTCTTTGGCCTGAAGTCTGCCGACGAACTGGGGCGTACGAGATTTGGAGTTCCAGGGCTTTCGAAAAGGACTTGAAAGGTTCTACACCCAAATCCACCTGCCAAAAAATCTCATTCTGAAGTAAAAAATAGAAACTTGGAAACGGTGTACAATGTACTGGACTACTACATCTGCATGCCTTTTACGTATATGTGTATGTATGTACAATATATCAGTATATAAGTATGAACAACCTCTTCAGTTCCAATATGTTGAGGGGTGGAAGGGCTTTGGACCCCGTGCAGTGTCCCTGTCCAGCTACGACACCAGCAAGGTGGCACTCCTTTTGGCTTGAAACAACAAGTTACAAAGGAACTGCCTGCATTGAACGATGCAACATGTTTGGCATCGAACATTCAGGCAAATCTCTGACGCGAGAGGTTTTTTTTTCTTATCTGCGATGATGCCAGAAACTGGTTATTATTTGAAAGCGTTTTGGCAAAAGTGGCACAGCCACTGTGGCCCTCGCCCCTGGCGACTTCAAGGCGCATCTTGCTGGGGGACGTTCTCCACAGCACTCAGCAAACTTTCCAAGCACTCAAAAGAGCGGGCATCCTTATGAGTCCATTGGTCAGCAGCTCCTTTGCGGTTGATCCCGTCCGACCAATGATCTTTGGATTGCACCCACGCGAAATAGCAGCCGCTGCGTAGCGCATAGAGCAGCCCCTGTACAGTACCTGCCGAACGGTCGAGCTCTGGATTTGTTGCCCCGGCCCCGGACAAGGGCCCTCAAATTAAAGCCGCCACGTTATCCACAAACCAAAGAGAATATACCAAATCAAACAACAGCTCCAATTGCGCGATCTTCGTCGGAAGCGTAACCATGATATCCGTTACGTTGGTGATAAAGCGCTCGCATGCCCAGAAACCGACTGGAGCACGTGGACCAGCCCCACAAATCTGACTGCGACTGCATGGCCGCATGGCCCGGAGCTTCCTCTGGAAAGGGGAATGCAGGCAGGAGGGTAAGGTAGGTGCTGCTGGCGACGCTTGAGCGCGCTGAAAGACTACATGTCCATGAACTCAAACTGGCCCTGGTTGAGCTGGTCAGCAACCGGGCTCCGGGGTCTCTGGGCGAAGGGTAGCGCTTGAACAATGCCTCCTTGAGGGCCACAAGCTTAGAGCTCGGCAGCGACCCTTAAAAATCCAGCGTGGCCCCCGAAAACGTCCACGCACCTCATCCAAACTTGGGTGCTTAAGCTGTCAACTGCATAGTGAGCCAAGAGATGAAGCTATTCTAGCGGCCGGTTCGTCTCACCAAGCTCCTGGCGAAGGAACCACAGCGCGGGCCAATCAACACAGCGCGGGCCAATCCAGGATAGGACACCTCGGGGCCGACAGCCCCCAGCAAAGCACGCAGCACGCTTTGCTAGATCTGAAATGGCGAAGCGCGCCACAAGAATTTTGGACGCCTGCACCTGCGCTGTCCAGGTGTGACACAGCAAGCAGTGACACTCCTTTTGGCTTGAACCGACAAGTTACAAAGGAGTGCTGCTGAACTGCTGAACTGATTCAATTCAAACAATTCTTCATCACCGATCCTGCCTACCTTGAATGATGATAAATACAATAATTACAGTATATCCATACACACTGTCACACATACATGTTTGTAGATTGCATATGTAAAGCCAGGAAATCAACCTCCCCTGCCTTGAATCCCGTCAATGCTCCCAGTCTTTGGGCCTGGCGGTGTCGGCGGATTGCGCGGCAGATCCTTCAAAACACCCGCGAACCCGCACTGTTCTTGGAAATTGGCGATCCGTTTGAGTGCAAGCACGCTGAAGAAGGCTCTGTCCCGAACATATCGTGTTTTGATGTGTTTTGCAGCTCTCGGTTGGCCAAAAACGAAAGCCCCACAAGGCCGGGCAAGCCACCCCTCCCGTCCTGGCTCATGTTCCCATGGAGGCAAATGGACTTCATACCCATATGCCTTCCGGGGCGGGGTCGGCGCCACCGCGCTCGTAAGCTGCTGGCGCTCGTCGATGGTTGGGGCGGTGGAGAATCTTCTGGGTTGGAAAAAACCGCGAAGGATCCAATAGCAAATTGACGAAGACTCAGGCGTCTCGCTTACACTCCCTGAAGTGGATAGCATGGCCCCGGTTTTGGATGACCACTTTCCAAATAGCTAAACAGGTGGTGCCTTCCACTTCCAAGTTAGTGACTGGGAGTGTTTATCCTGTTTTGAGATGTTTCAAACGCACGACTTGCTCTCGTGTTCCTTCCCTGTGATGATGCAGTTTGCATGACAGGGCAAGTCTGCGGGTGTAGTTGGATGCTTGAGAATGCAAAGAGCCCAGGGCCATGACCTTTCTTAGCCATGACCTCGCCTCAAGAAGATGGAGAGCCTCTGTGCTCCCAAGCAGGTGTCAGTAAAAACCATCACCTGAGCTCGTTTCAAATCTCCTCTCAAGCTGTAGGCCCCTTAGGATAGTATAGCCATAGCCATGGCACATTCGGTGGCGGTTGATTGGAAAGCCTACAGTCCAGTCTGCACAAACCAACATCTAATCCTCGCTCCAAACAACCTCTATATCTCGAAAAAAGGAAAAAAGACTGAAGACTTACAGAGATGAGCTGCCGCACGGAATAGTGAATGAAATGAGCAACCAACGCCGCGAAGTAGGTTTGCTTGAACCTGGGGCGCATCAAACTGACTGAAATGGTCCTTCCAAATGTTCAAGGCAGCCAAGGCTTGATGCTCAAGGTTTGATCGACAGACATTGGAGAAAAGACTTCAGCAAAGGCTTCTTATCCATCATGTTTGACTTCCAAGACTAAGAGCGATAAATCTACAAACGTCAAACCCCCGCACTTGGAGAGAATGTTTTCTTTGCACGCATTCCAACGTTTTTTTAATGATACGGCGACCACCGAGATCTACACTACAATAGTGACAGTTCTTAAATCTCATGCAGAGGAAACAACCGCTTCTGCTTGCTGAGCCCGTGGCTTGAAAGGAACCAATAGAAAGTTCTGCACCAAGCCAGCCTCCGAGAAACACAACAGTGGTCCAACCGATCAAGCACTGTCATACCACAGGCTATCATATAGACCAAACATAGCGAGAGTCATATAAATCATATCAAAGGTGATCATAAAATTTGAAGCTATGATGGAAAAAAACTTAAACATCTAAAATAAATAGGAAAGGAGTCTGACGCAGCCTTGTCCCAACAAGACCTCTCTGTGTTGAAAACCTCTTCGGTCTTCGGACCTAAGACCTGCTACGACACGGGGATACACGGCAAAAGCCGTTGACCGAGACCGGTCTCAGTTCGGGGCCGCGGTATCGCTTTTGGAGCTCACTTCCACCTCGAAGACGGGTGAAAGGGTTGGCTGCTTTTCAAAGCGCATAAGAGCCCAAGTGGAAGATAAAACAAAGGGGGGGGAACCAACTGGGTTTTGTTCGATCCAACGCTGATCAGAAATTGACGAGTTCAAAGACAGGACTCCTCCGTTGCTGGCCTTTAGAAGGCATTCAGTACTACAGTACAGAAGACTCACAATTGGAGAGCTCCAAAGTGGGTTCAGCAACATGGAGAAGCTTTTTTGCGGCGGCGCAGGGAAGAGAAAACAAAGCAAAGCTGCAAAGCTGCTTCAACGCGCAGTCTCATTGCAGCTTGACGTGCCGTACTGGACAGGGGGTGTCGTTGTTGATTCCCCACAACTGTGCGAAAAAATGTCTCAAGATCATCAACAGCTTCTTTTGAAACGAATCCCATGAGCCAAAGCTGATGTCCTTCACACTCCAAGTTCACTTCAACCTCAGCTTTCAGGAAGAAATTCTTGGTCAAAACCCAGCCAAAACCTCCAGCCCTGGTAAACTCAACCCCTCCCTCGTAGGTAGTCTTTCTTCCGTTCATGTTCCGCATTGCTCCGCTGTCCCGTCACCACATCACGGGGCCCGAGGCACGCGGCGCCCCAGCCTTCACGGGCTTTCGCAACGAGGCGCGTTGAAGCTTGGAGACCTGGCGCGACGCAGGAGGCCGAGGCAGAGGCCGCTGGTTCCTGGAGGGGGGGCAGCTTGGTTTGGTGGAAGAAGTGCTGCAAGTTCAGCTCGGACCCCGCGGGACCCTGCGAAGAAGAATAGACTTCAGAGAGCGAACGAAAGAAGTGGAGAAGTCACCCTGGCAGGTGAAGTCAGGACTCTCTCAGCACTCCTCCCTGAGGCATCTCTCATTTCGTGCCTTGGACGTCATCGTGGCAGAGAAAAGAAAGGTGTTCCGCTCGCGCGGAACCACCTGCGGAACCAACGGATCAAGAGCCGTGGAACTCGTTCCTGCTCGAGGGGTACCGGGACCTAGACAAACCTGGTAGATTGGGAGAGAGGGCCGGGCCAAAACGGCCACCAAGCAACGGGCTGCTGCGTACTACATGGACTATATCGTGGTACATTCAGTTCGATCAGCAAAGGGCTCGGATGGTGAGGGTGACCGGGTCCGATCAAAACATAGAATCCAAACATCAAACAGACCCTTTTTCAGTGGATGGTCCAAAATGGTCTGCAAATCCCCCTTGATTGTTCATACGCGGGTCGGTTTTTCATAAGGCTTCATTCATGGGGGGTGTCTGCAATATGCGTTGCATGGCTTCTTCTGCGGTGGATTTTGGGCGAAGCGCCGACGCCTTTGAAGTCTCATTCTTCCAGCTGTACTCGCATCGCACAGCGCGCGGTGTCTGCGCACAACGCGCGCAGTGAAGCTGCGCCAGCTGCATTTCATCCAGCTGTGCAGTGTCAAGCGATTGGCAGGTGTCGAATTGACTTGCGGTGCAATCTGTCTGCAAAACTGCTTTTCGTCGAAGCAGGTGCTTTTCAATACAAGCTTGCCAGTCAAGCAAGCTGTCGTCGTGATAAAGCCTCATGCTCACTCATGCTAGAGCCTCTCTGAAGAAGATTGATGATGAACAACATGGCTGCAAACGGACTGCTTGAATACTGTGCATATACTGCAAGTGGGTTCGCAAGAAATAAATATCTATATATCTACATACATACATACATACATACATACATACATACATACATACATAC